ATACATATCTATATTTAATGCTTGTCTTATTTTATTTGAAGATCTCAATAAACACTTTTGAACTGAACAATTACCTATATATTGTGTTTATACACGACTTCTATATATATATATGCTAATGATAAGCGTTGATTTCGTCTCGTTTTTTGTGGATTTTAATTTCTCGTTATATTTTTATATTTAATGGGCTTTACGGCCGGGGCTCGCGATGCGATTGCTGAGTCTTTTGGGCAGCCGGCAGCAAAAGCGTTTGCATCTCGACAGCACGCGATTGAAATTGGAACTGTTGAAACCAGTAAGAAGGCGCCTGCGACGAGACCTCGGTTACCAGAGTGTCGTCATAAAGTAGTATATGGAAGACACACACACACGAAGCGCGAGCTCGGGTCGTTAAGCATAAAGACAAAAGCAAAGGCAAATACATGATATAAGAACCTGACGCGACGATCGTAAAACCGTTTATAATCGAAGCAAAAAGCGTCGCCAATTAAATTAGACGAAAGCAAAAACAAAAAAACAATGAGTAGCCGAATATAAAACAATAACAAAAATGATGAAAAACAATGGGTTTACCATCTGCTCGGTATAAACAAATCCGAATGACAGCAAACAATAACACGCGTTAGCTGCTTTCGCCTTATCGTTCAGCTACGCCGCTCGCTCGGCCACGCCCACCGCTGTTGACATGCGAACTATTGCGGCACCAGACAAACTGCCCCTCGATGACTGTGCTCGAAATTCTTGGAGCTCAAATCCAGTTTTTTTTTATTTTTTTGCGTCAAAGATATTTCCCCCCGGCTCTTCGATTGCATTTCGTATACAGATCACGCAGCATGCAAAGAAAGTCAAGATTATGGGAATTACCTCAGCTCGTGTGGTACAATCCCCTTTTCTGGATTCCTTGTACGATTCGTCAGCATATAAATAATTATACAGAGCAGATCTTTAGTGATTTTATATGCAATCCCAGGTGAGCTGTAGTTCATGCACTGAGAATCAATTAGAGTTGAGCTGGGAAACTCAAAGTGGATGCAGAATGAAACTAATACCTAACAAAAATATGATCAACTCTATGATGTGCAGAAGAATCGTAATATACTTAGAGATTTATTATATATTTAATGAGGGATCAGTGAAATAGTTAAGCCTACTGGAACTAGTATAGGATAAAGCTCTTATTAAATATTTTGAATTGAATTGAATTGAATAGTTTGTCTTATTGGAACTAGTTCAGAAAGCATTTCTTCCACTCTAAGTACAATTTAAATATTGTACTAGCCAGCCGACACCTTTTTGTTAAGAAGTTGTGGTATAAAAACTTTTTAATCTAACTTTTACTAATTCGCCAAGCGACAACGAAAATGTTTACACTCAAAAAAATTATCTAAAAATACTTTTATCAATTTTGTTTGCCAAGCAAAATGCTCTACTGGTTCTTTAAAATTAGTTCATTCAAGTATAAATGGAAATTTTGCACAAAGCGTAGCCAAAAATTACGACAGCAATCAGACACTTATTAAAAAAGGCTGCACTAACACTGCACAACAAGAATGTGAAATTAAAACGAACTAAAATTAAATTGAATAATTAAAGAATCTATGTAGCTAATAGAACTAAAAAAACAATTTTTTTAAAAAAATGTCAAAAAAATATTGAAAAGATAGAATAATATATGTAGTTCTAAACAAAGTTCTGTTTCGAATAAAATTCATCTAACCAAATATACGACATTTTTGTTTAAGACCTAAGAACGAAACGAAAAATTAATTTAATTTTTTAAGCAGGAAATCTCAAAAAATAATTCTTTTAAATCTAAAAGTCACAAAAATAAAATGATTAAAAAATTAAAAACCCCTTAACAAATTTATTCAAAATTAAAAGAAGTACATCCGCAATTTTAAAAAGTTTTTTAAATTATTGAAATATAAAAGAAAACTGTTCTTCAGTTCAAATAAATTTTGCCCTATTTCACAAAGTTGTGCAATCGGATAATAGCTCTATTTTGTAGCAGACTGTATTAAGCACTCAGTGGTACTTATCTGTTACCGAGTACAATACTTTTATGAGAGGAATAATATAATTTATATACATTATAAAAGAGGAACTAAAAACAATAACAAATATCAAGGTTATCACACTAAAAAAAAAGAATTACATAGAAATGTGCAAATATTTGTAAACTGCTTTATTAGTAACGTTCGCAGTTAGGTTAGTTACCGTAATTGTTTATAGATTGGTGGAACACTTAACAGCTATTCTAGAATAATACTGGATTGTGAAATATTCTTTCACTGACACCGAACGTTTGGCCAAAGGCTAGAGAACTGAGCTCGAGTCGAGCTGAGGCCTCGATATTTATACTCGGACGAGAATCGAGTTTTGGGATTTACCTGGGAAATACCACGCGCTGAGTAAACGAACTGCATTACGTTTCTAAATTGACTTGGTCAGGTCAGAGTCGTAGTCGTTGTGCGTAGGTAAACCAGTATACGATTATACATATATATAGGTGGGTATAGGTAAATATAGATATGCAAATTGATGTTTGTAGTTAATAAGGTACGTTCTCATATATGTCAACATTTCCATTATTACACATTAGGCTACACTAATTCAATACATACTTTGGGATGCAGCCAAAACTGATAGGCATATATATTCAGAACTACATAGATACATAGATACATAGATACATAGATACATAGATACATAGATACATAGATACATAGATACATAGATACATAGATACATAGATACGTAGATACATAGATACATAGATACATAGATACATAGATACATAGATACATAGATACATAGATACATAGATACATAGATACATAGATACATAGATACATAGATACATAGATACATAGATACATAGATACATAGATACATAGATACATAGATACATAGATACATAGATACATAGATACATAGATACATAGATACATAGATACATAGATACATAGATACATAGATACATAGATACATAGATACATAGATACATAGATACATAGATACATAGATACATAGATACATAGATACATAGATACATAGATACATAGATACATAGATACATAGATACATAGATACATAGATACATAGATACATAGATACATAGATACATAGATACATAGATACATAGATACATAGATACATAGATACATAGATACATAGATACATAGATACATAGATACATAGATACATAGATACATAGATACATAGATACATAGATACATAGATACATAGATACATAGATACATAGATACATAGATACATAGATACATAGATACATAGATACATAGATACATAGATACATAGATACATAGATACATAGATACATAGATACATATATACATAGATACATAGATACATAGATACATAGATACATAGATACATAGATACATAGATACATAGATACATAGATACATAGATACATAGATACATAGATACATAGATACATAGATACATAGATACATAGATACATAGATACATAGATACATAGATACATAGATACATAGATGCATAGATACATAGGTACATAGATACATAGATACAGGGAATATATAGACAGGTTTATAGTAATTACCTTCAGTCTAGACGTGATTCCAAAGCTGAATGTTAAATAATCAAGAGCAAGGCATTTGGATTATTCTTATTCGATATTAGTCAGATTTTAATTAGCATCATTTTGGGTAATATTTATAAGAAGCACGTGCGGGAATTGGATAAAGCAGCGGAGATATCAAATGCGGGATTTTTTTCGGACTAGCCTTATATCTGGCAGTAGGTTAAAGTAAAAGAGAAGGCAAATACGATTTTTGCACTACATAGAAACCCGAGAAGAGGTCAGTAAACTCCAGCCGTCAGCTGGGCCGAGGCTACAGTAGCTTATTGTTATATTTTTATGAGCTAAATATAGGAAGTTCGTCTTTTACGAGCATCTGCACTAACCCAGGCAATAGTTATAAAAAGAGAACGAAAACAAGTATAATGCGGAACGTTGAGCACGTTGCAGAAGTTTCCCATTCAAAATAAATATGTTATTCTTTATTAGATATATGGATATATGTATGTACAATAGTAACATGTTTATAAGATAGTATATATATAGTTACTAAGTTATAAACAATAGAAACTTTATAAGTAGGTACAATCGTTCTTTGGAGTTTGCTGCTCGACAATAAAAATATATGTTAAAATGGATGCATTTGCTCAGAGTCAGGATTTACAATTTTTAATACTTAAGTCTTTAGTCTTTCAAGATATTCAAAACATTTTACAGCAGTTTTTAGAGTTGAACTCGAGTAAGTTTTGGAAACAGCGTAAATATAAAATATTTTGGATCATTGTTTAGCTGTGAAGTTTGTTAGAAACAAATTTCTTGAGCAAAGTTTGACAAATCTTTTTTTTTAAGTTTGGATATTTTAAAGTTCTACAAATCTTGAATTTAACAGCTTATGCTATAGTTATATAGGTAGATTATACAGCTAACTGCTGGAATAAACTGTAAACAATTTTTAAGATTTTTTTAAAAGCTTAAGAGTTTCCTCTAAATTTGAAATAAGCTGATAAAGCAAATGTAAGTCCTAAACAGCTTTAGCAATATGTTTTTTAAAGCAATTTTTTCTTTTTGTTTTATAGTTTCTCAATAGAAGATTTCATAGATAATACTTTCTACCTCACAGGGGTATCTTTTAAAGATTTTTTTTTTTAAGAGAATGCGAATAATTTTGAATTTATTTTGCATTTTTCGTTCGATTTCATTTGGGAATATTTGGGAATATTATGGACTTGCTATTTGATATTTTGGAGTAGTATTAAAATAGAGAATTTATGTCTGTTCTGCTGTCTTTTCTACTCTCGTAACACACTCTATTGTCCAGCTCTTTTCTCAACTTTTATCTTTCTCTTCACTTCAGCTTTCTTTCTACTCTCATGCTCTACTTTTCTTTACCTTTCTTTCTACCTTCTTTCTTCTCTCTCCTCATTTTATTTTCGATTTTCTATACTCTTTTCTTCTTCTTTTCTTTTCCCTTTCCTTTTCTCCTTTGCCTTTGCCTTGCTTAGTATTACATTTTAACTATTAGAATATAGAGCTCTGATCTTATCAGACATCTTTTCTTCTCCACATAACATTTTCCTGATATTTCTTTATAGAAATTAACGTTTATCTGGGTTCTATTAGAATGTTCCCATTTCTTATTTTGTTTTATTTTCTTTCAGCTCGTTTCATTTCCCTTTTGTTTCCTCCATTTCTCCCGCTCTCTGGCTTTGAGGTAGCTGCTCTTCAATATATATATATAAATCTCTTTAACATTTCTTTGCTTCTGCTGCTCCAAGTCAATAGCTAAGATTGATGGCCTGCTGGCGATGATAGATTTCGCTGCGTACGAGTATCTCATAGCTGCTGATGCGCACCTCCTGCCCGCCAAATGGAATGTGGAGACAGCGATGCGATTGCTGTATCTTGCCCGGCGTCAGGCTGCCGCAGTAGTGGGCGCGGCCAATGTAGAGAGGCTCGCCATTGAAGGCGCGACCCGCCTCCACAGCACCAGCCGCGATGCAGCCATCGTAGCCAGGCACCCAATGGTATTTCGATTGCCCGATGAGCACTTCGTAACGCGACTCCACCAGCTCCCGGCCGGCATGCGTGATGTAGGCGCAGCCACGACTCGGCGCCGCCTTGCCCGGTATGTGGGAGCCATCGTAGTAGGCGCGGCAGACCAGCAGTGGTGCCATGTCGGTGTCGTGTCCACCATAGACAGCATCTGGTGGTGTATACCCGGGACTGGCCGCCATCCACAGGTCATAGCTGGTCGTCGCAGCTGGTGCGCACACAGCAGGCGTGTAGCTGGAGCAGCTTGGGGCATAGGGATCCAGATTCATCGCCGGCTTATATGTCTCCGCTGGCACAAAGGTGGACCCATGATGGGTGGAAGGTGCAACCGCAGCTGCCGCATAGGAGGGCGGCATGTCGTAGTGCTTGGCTGGTATGGGCACTGGCACAGCCAGCGGTCGCTTATACTGTGGCAAGATGGTGGGCTCCGCAAGTGGTGTTGGCGGTGCCATGGCCGGTGGTGGTGGTGGTGGCGGTGGATACGGGTCTGTGCTGGGCGAGGGCATCGGCATGGGCGTATACTGCGGCGGTCTGTCGTGCAGAGAAAAGGGCACCGCATCAAAGTCGGGCGGATAGGGATACGGCTTACGTGCCACTGGCGGCTTAGTCAGTAATCCTGGTGGTGGTGGTGGTGGCGGCGGTGTTTGCGGACATTTCTCAGCCAACTCCATTGCATCAGGTGGGGGTGGCAGCTGCCAGCCAGGCGCAGCGCCTCGCTCCTCAATCAGTATCTCATATGAATCCAAGCGACGCTCCGCTCCGCGATACGCTATGAACAGCGCGCGATGCACTGAGGATATTTTGCCGATGATCAGGTGACCCTCGTAGTGCCCGCGACCAATGTACACCGGCTGCTCGAGGCTGGTGCGGCCGCAGAGCACCGCCGTCTCGGGTATCACGTGATCGTAGCATTTCACCCAAACCAGATTCTCGCCGCACAGCATTTCGAATATGTCCTTGGGCAAAGCCTCGCCGCGCTGCGAAATGTATCCAATTTGCTTCGATGGCATCACCTTGCAGACGAGCATGTCGCCCTCGTGCTCAGCCCGACCCACATAGATCATGGCGCCATCCTCATCGTTGCCCCCGACAATGGCATTTGCCGGTATCGAGGAATACGCCGACGATTGAACCCATTTGTACACTGAAACGAAGCCAGAAATTTACTAAATAATCTGTATAAATAATCATTTATAATAATGCTAAGTTTCTACAGGAATCTATGAAAGTAACATAGATTAAAGCTAAAGCTTTGTTGAGTCTTTTGTAGTAGGAAATTCTATTTTATACATGTTTCAGTTGGCTTTTTCTTTATCAACATCAGCATCGAAAATTATGTACCTTTATCATCATCATTATTATCAGTTTCTTTATAACATGCTAATCCTTAATTCATTTTAATTAATTCCTTCACCGTCTACAACTCTCAACATTCTCATTATTATCAGTTTTTTTATTATCATCATTTTACTCTGCAGACCCTATCATCATCATCATCATCATCATCCTACACCACTAACATCTTCTTAACTACCATCATATTTAACACCTTCGCTATTAGCTTCGCCTTTATCTGTGACAGAACAACTTCAGCTTGAAGACAGTCGAGAGCGAAGCTGTTTGAGTGAACGCAGTCCGACGCACTAACCAGACTGACAACCTGCTTGACGGCACTTAAACCTTATAATATATATATATAATTATAATATTGTCAAGATAAAGTTCTTAAAGATCATCATCATCTTCATATTCTTTATCATCAGCAGCATAATCATTTTCATTTTCATTCTTCAGCATCATCATCATCCTTCCCATTAACATCTTTATCAACAGTAATCATCATTAACATAAGCTTCAAAGAGTGCTTTCTGATATATATATATATATATATTCATCATATATATATGATGAATATATATATATATATATATATATATTCATACAGGTATAATTGCTTTTTAATCTAACTTAAATATAAGCAGAAAATTTTTTTTCAAATAAAGAAGTAGAATTGTTTATCCATATATATATACACATCTAGCCAAATATATCCATATATATATTTATATATATTATATATGCTTATCTGAATAATATGCACTTTTCTCTGTGCTGACTCAACAGTTTACAAAGCTTTTGTTTTGCCACTCTCCCAGGTTTTCTGCTATGAAACTTAAAATAAAACAAAATCAGAAAAAAAAAGATAAAAGATAAAAAATCCACATTGAAAAGATATATATGAATTCGATATGTATTAAAGCTATATAAAGTGCTACGACTCATGTAGACTCAGGTTAAAGAGTTATATGTTGGGCTTATATATGGGAAATGATCAACAGATATGCCAAATTATAATATATGTATATATAATCAATATATCAAAGGTCATTAGAGAACTTATAGATAGATGTTTTTTAGCACTAAGAGTGTATGGAAAAGTCAAGAAAACTTCGAATATGTAAAGTGTTATATAAGCAGTCGCACTCTTTATTAAAATTTACAAATGATATAAAATTTGGAATAAACGCAAGTACGACTTATAGTCTATAAAAGTGATTGATCGAATTCAAATATATATATATATATATATATACACATATAGTTTATATACTATATATATATCGCCTATTGCCTGCACAGCACCTCATACGAATCGATTCGTATTTCACGTCCGCCATAGGGTATATAGAGGCAACGCTGTCGCGAGGAGATGAGACCCGGCGTCAGGCTGCCCTGATAGTGACCGCGTCCATAGTAGATGGGCTCGCCGTTGCGTGCTCGGCCCGTGCTGACGGCATTTGGTGGTATGCAATGTGAGCTCCTAATCCAGGAGTAGCCATAGCCGGTGAGCACCTCGTAGGTGGGCTTCTGGAACTCGTAGCCGCCGAAGCAAACGTAGGCAGTGCCCTTGCTGGGCACCACCTTGGCGGGCAGCATTTCACCCTCGTGCATGGCGCGACCCGCATAGATGGGCGTACGATCAGAATCGTGACCGGCTATGACGGCGCCCGGCGGCGTAAAGCTGGCCGATGCCGGCACCCAGACATCGTGCTGCTGATGGATGAGCACTTCGTAGGTGTTGATGCGCACCTCCTGGCCGCCGAACGGTATGTAGAGACAGCCGTGCGACGGATGCACCTTGCCCACGCACAACGAGTTCGAATAGTGACCGCGTCCCACATAGAGTGGCTCGCCGGTGCGGGTGTTGCCACTTCTCACCGCATTTGGTGGCACACCGCCGCTGGCGCTGCCCACCCAGGCGAAGCCCTGGCCGACGAGCACCTCGTAGTGGGTCTTCTGGTGTTCGGTGCCGCCGTAGGCTACATAGGCGCAACCTTTGCTCGGTATGACCTTGGCGGGCAGGTTCTCGCCCTCGTGAAACGAGCGGCCCACGTAGATGGGCGAGCCATCGGCATCGTGGCCACCAACAACAGCGTACGGAGGCAGTGCGGCATATGGAGTCGAGTGCACCCAAGTGTGTTCTGCAACGGATGGAGGGAGGTGTGTATTAGCCGTATCCAATGATAAGCGTAGATAAGATATAGCATTGATAACGCAGTGCAAAAGGTAGTCAAACAAAAAGTTTAATCAAATTTGAGAATTTCGAAGTTCGAATTTCGATTTTGATTTTGATTTTGATTTTGATTTCGGGTCGAACACTTCTTGCACTCGCCTACCAATTGTCACAACTGCTCCTGGCTGTACGGCACCTACAAGAGTGCCACAGAGAGAGAGAGAAGGAAGAGGCAATAGAAAGAGAGAGAGAGAGAGGGAGAGAGACAAATCAACACCTTGTCTATAAAACACTTACTAACAGCTCTAACTATTAGCATATACCCAACACCTTTAATATAACTCTACTTGAGTATAGATCAAACTATACTTATCGAATATATATCAAAGTAAATTTATCGATTAAATTACGTACACTTTCAGATCACATAAATTACATATATATTGTTTATATATTGCACTTTGCATTCAATCGCATATACATGCAGCTCTAGTTATCGATATACATATATGACTGCTTATCGAATTTAAGTCTGACAAGCTGAATCATCAAACATTTATCTAACTTTATTTTTTTTTTTTTGTATTTTAAATAAAGAGACTTTAGACTCAACTATAGTTATCGATTAATTATCGAAAATATTTTATCGAATTTATATATATATAATTTATATATATATGCAATTGTTCTCCAATTTTTTACCTCAAATAAATGTACTACATATATCGTGTATATATCTAACTGTATTTCGCAGTAGTATAATAAATGCAACGAATATGTAAGCAACTATTTAACTTATCGAATATTTATCAAAGTTTACCATGTACAATTGGCTGTACTCAAGTTTATTAGAGCTAATAAATTGACTATAGATCTAATCATATTTATCGAATACACATTCAATAATATATATCGAAATATATATATATATATCGATATATACTCTACTATATCTTCAAATATATTTATAGAATACATATCGAATAATAATTTATCGAATATATATATATATATATATATATATATATATATATATATATATATATATATAAATATATATATAACTGTACTTTAATTTTTATATACATATTTGTATAGCTTACTATATATATCGAACTGTACTATTTATCGAATATATTTTATTCTGCTTATTCAAGCTGCTTTCCACTTTCTCATAGCAGATACATTGTCTATCTATATCTATATGTATATTATATATAATTGTATATTTTATGAAATTTCTGGCAATTTCTCACATCAGTTTTGTTCCTTTTTTAATATTTTTCAGATCAATCTAATCAGATCTTTATAATATTTATATAGAATATTATTCGCCATCTTAGATCAATTCGAATACGGATCGATATTTGTTTTATATATTTAACTTAATTTTATGTTCTTCTGTTTGTTAATAACTTACCCATGATTCACTTTCCAACTGATAGGCGTTTGGCTTCGATTATTTATCTATATATATATATATTTATTTATATATATATATGTCTGTTTATTGGCTTTCCACTGGACGCAACCGTCGAGCTCTCAGTTTGAATTATTACTAAAACTTGCAACGGGCGTAGCAAACGGTTTTGTAATTTTTATCAGCTGGAAGTTGGTCGCTCGGCTCACTTAGGCCTTTAATCGAAGAAGCTTTTTCCACGCAGTGCCTAGGGCATGTTATTGACAGCAAAAAATTCTTATCAGCGCACATAGTTGGGACTTATGGCACTTGTTTATCATTTCCAATATAAAAAGCAAAAGCTTTTTCCAGCCACTTGTGACTCACTTAACTGATTGGGGAACTTTTTTTTCCACTACCCTACATGCAGACGTGTGTGATATATAGATAACGTCTGATTTGTTTTGAACAGGTGTTAGACTCATTAATTTTGAAATATCTATAGCAAATAGCTGTGAAAATAATTATGACTTGTTTGTTTAAATACGTTGACTAAGCGAAGTTCGCGAGATCCTTCTACGAAATGTATAGAGCATACTTGAAAAACTACATTTAACTTTTTGCTCAGCTTAATTTGTACTTTTTTCTTATCAATAGATAATACATACTTGCTTTTCTATCACATTCTATGGAACTTCATTTCGATTTATGGCCGGTCCATCACAATATTATGATACTATTTATAAATGTGTGTATATATATGTTTAAGATTTCTACAGTTTGTGATAGTTTCTTTCATTATTATAACGTTCATTAGCTATATATCTACATAAGTGTTTATATAGATTATGAAAATATATATCAGCTTGTTAAGAGTTCAATGCTTTGCCTTCCCGGCTCATTTGGCTGAAGGTGCTCGTAAGTCTATGTGTTATACAAGGCTCATCATATGTTAAGGCATATCATATTTATGGCACAGTCTATATAGACCTCTAAGAAATATTGCATCTCTCACAAAAACCACCCATTGGGACTACTTCCGGAAAGTAAGTTTTAAGATACATTATTTCAATATTTAAGAGGGTTCAAGCAATTTGGAAAAAATAAAAAAAATTATAAAAATCAAGAAAATTTTGTGATTTCAAAAATTCTAGGCAACTAATTTTAAATATTTCAAACAATTTAAAAAAATTTTTAAATGCTTAAAAACATTACAAAATTTAAACAAATTTAGAACCTCTTTTTAAAAAATTTAGAAAATTAAAAATAAATTTTTAATTCGGCATATGTAAATTATTAAAAAATTATAAAATTTTTAAAAATTTTACAAGTAATCAAATTTCTCAATTTGATTTACTTGTAGAATTTTGCAAAATTTCCATAAATTTTTAAATGTTTTTAAAAATTTCGAAACTTTTAAAATTCCAAGCCAACAACGTAGCCTTACTACAATACAATGCATATATGCATTGAAAAATGGAAAATATGTGCAAATGGCTGAGATCTGAAACAATATTGAAGTTCCACCCTCATAGGATTGTTGAGTCAGCAAACCTATTTATACATATAGCAAGCGGGGTTACTGCTGTTCACATTGAAATTGAATTGTGCAGTGAGTCAGGTGCTTTATGGAATCGAAAACGACGTCAAAGTCAGGTCAAAGCCAGAAACAGAGAAATAAACAGAAACAGCTGTGGCTGAACTTGCGAATGTGCGGGCTACTGAAACAATCATTGCGGTTATACATGAGAGGAGAGCTGTATAAAAGGAACGCCTAGAACTAAAATTTGAATGTGAAATTCACATTTAAAGCTCACTTGCAAGCGAGAGAGCAGAGGAAACGGAAAAAGCGGATATTCGAAAATGGGTGAGCAATTCGAAATACGAAATACGAAATTCGAAATACGAAGTTCAAATTTCTGTAGTCAAGGTTTGTCTTTTGATCGATAAGAGCTAATCAGGCGATCGCTCAAAAGATTAGGTAAACCAGAAAAAAAAAATCAAATTATTTATTGATTTCTTAAACCGTAAAACACAAACATTTCAAGAACTTTTTAAAAGTTGTTTTTGCAAGCATGACGAATTGCCTAGCCCTTATGTATATATATTTATATATGTATATGTATATAGCTATTTATCAGACAGTTGCTCAGAAAGGTTTACGCAAAAAACGGTCCCCGGCAACGGTGGGTTATCTTATCGAAGTCAGTTAACAACTGGCCCAAACAGTCAACAGTTTTTTCGTTTTCTTTGTGACTGATAAGAAAAAGTCAGCTCTTTATAACACAAGTGCCAGCTGGAAAGTCCAGTCAGTCTATATAGTAACTACGTAGAGAACGTTACGGACAGATCGAATAGGGATCGAGAGAGATCTAGAACCTACATATATAAAAAACAAAATGGGTAAGGACTTGGACAAAGGATTACAAGCCATGAACTAGATTAAGTGGATTATACCAGTGCGAATATATATATATATATATATACATAAAATATAAATAATATCTTAAAAGGCAGTACTAAAAGTTTTCCATAAAAAAGTGACATCAAATGATGACTAAATGCAAGGCGAAAGAGCTTCACATCAACTGAAACAGTAACTGTTTCAAGTTACTCGAAGTCATAATACGTACATAAAAATAATTTTTTTCTATTTTTAAGTGCTGCTAAGTGAAAGTTAATAATTGTTCCTTAAAATTAGAAATTTTATCAATTTTATAAATTAGTATAACAGTTCACTACAACAGTTTAATATAACAGTTCAGTATAACAGTTTAGTATAACAGTTTAGTATAACTATTTAGTATAACAGTTAGTATAACAGTTTTGTATAACCACGACAGTTAAGTATATATGAATTTATAATTCTGGATTTTGACTGGCAATCGAAAGTGAACGCACAACTCTACATGCATATATTCATTAATCAGCAGACGCGCCAACTGTTATACTGATAACAGAATATTCTATTTTTGTCCCGATACTAATTGAGCGGTACAGTTCGATATGTTCAATTGTAGTTGTAGTCGTACATCAACATTTATACATGGATATATGACTATATTGACAGCTGCAATCCACAAAACTTAAAAGTGAACTTAAAAGCTTAAATTTCAAAAGGAGCCCGATAAATAATACTTGCGCCTTTCAACATATACTTCATATAGGTCTTATCTATAAAGACCGAGGTGTCATAGCTAAAATTTTAACCTAGATACACGTCACCACACAAGCACACAGACACATACCTCTTATAATTGAAATAGATAATGAAAATAGATTAATTTGTATGATTGAACAGAGTATAGAGTATGGCTAATATAAGAGTACCCTCAATATAAGAGTATATGTTCTCTAGAAACACTTTTGATGCTCAGTACTTGCTCAAGTAATTCAGTGTATACGAGTTATTTAAATGAGAGAAGAAATATCTCAATATACAAATTCAAAGTATTTAGCAAATGTAAGAACTGTATGTTTAAGACTTATATGAAAAGCACTCAATCAATCAATATTATCCACATGGGCATTCACACTATAAGTTTATAGCCTGCTTTACCGGCAGATAGGCACTTAAACTACTTAAATACCATTCATTTATGATAAGAATAAACGAATATGCGGCAAATATATATATATATATATATATATATATATATATATATATATATATATATATATATATATATATAATTATTAACTCACTATCAGATTGCACTCAAAAGTGGCATTTGTTGCCTTTTATCTGGCATTCGAACACTTCTGCAAGCGCAATCAACACTATCAAACAAATTCCAATAGAACTGAATTATCATAATCTATATATGTTTTATATCAAAACTTATATAAAAATTGACCAAGCAAACGGATTTACTCAAAGTGAATATCCACTCAATATAATAAAGTACTTATGAGCAGGGAGTGAGCTTTAATGATACTGACTTATCCAATACTTTTACTACACACAACTAGTATATGATACAAATGTGCTTATACACATTATAAGAGCTTTAATGATTTTGACTTATACAAATGTGCTTATACACTATTTAGGAGTAGAGCTTTGCAGGCCAGCTGACACTTGTACGAACATCAATTTCCATCTTATACAGCTCTTATATAATGCATATCTATGGCAACCTACTTTAGATATCTCTTCTAAGAAGTAGTATAGGAGAGAGCATTTATGATGGCAAATAGACTTATACGCCAATGCATAAGAAGGGATTTGCTCTTATACGCATACACGTAGAGATACACTTATACACATATCCTCTCTATACTTATACAACTTCTGAACTCTTTCTTTATAAGAGTTTGATCAGCAATGTAATTCACTCAACTCTACAAATCACTCAACATCAGCAAAAAGATTCTTTTCCCTTTCAAAGACTTATAAAATATCGTTAATCAATAAATTTCCTAATATTAATTGATTTCCCCTACTTTCCATAGAACACACTTGGGTTGCCCGCAATGTCTACGACGCCCTGCCGCCATTCGCCATCGCCGCCGGCCACGATTCGGACCAGGATCCCATCTATGTGGGCCGCGCCTATCACAATGGCGACATGCTGCCCGCCAAGGTGATTCCCAACAAGCACCAGGCCTACGTTGCCTGGGGCGGCGAAGAGATCGCCAAGCATGACTACGAGGTACTCACGGGCCACCATTATTGCTGGATTCCGGCCAGCAACGGCGAGGTGCCGCCACATGCGCTGCGCGTCGGCCAGACCTCGGATGGCGAGTCGCTGTTCGTGGGCCGCGGTTACTTCCAGGGCAGCTTGACACCTGGCAAGGTGCATCCCTCCCACGGATGCCTCTACATACCGTATGGCGGCGCCGAGCATAGGCTGGAGGCTTACGAGGTGCTCGTTCAGCCCGAGACCTGGGTCAATTCATCCGGCAGCAACATCGTGCCCGGCACCATTCTGGCAGGTCACGACGCCGATGGCGATGCAATCTATGTGGGCCGCGCCTATCACGAGGGCGACCTGCTGCCTGCCAAGGTGATACCCAACAAGGGCTGCGCCTACGTGCCGTACGGCGGACAGGAGCACGTGAAGTACGATTTCGAGCTGCTCGCTGGCTACGGCTACGGCTGGGTGCCCGACTCCTTCGGCAATGTGCCCGGCGGTGCCGTCATCTGTGGACGCACCAGCGACGGCGAGCCCTTGTACATAGGCCGTGGCCACTACAACGGCAGCTTTACACCTGGCAAAATCCATCAGTCGCATCGCTGCCTTTACATACCGTTCGGTGGACAGGAGGTGCGCCTCGATAACTACGAAGTGCTCGTTCGCTCCTAGACTGATACCAAACTCCAAACAATAATCTGAAAATTCATTAATTTTTTACAAAACAAAAAAAAACATTTTTGATAATCAATTAAATTATTTGTATTTCATCAGTCACTAAACAATTATGAAATGTATGCTATAAAATCACTCAAAATAAATAAAAACTATAAAACTTATAGAAATATTTAAAAATGATATAATAATAATTGCTTTAACAAATTCCCTATATACAAAAACTACCCAAAAGTATGCAAGAGAAAGTCTCAACAGCTAAACTTTTATATAAACTCAGAACTTGAACGACTTTAGCCAAAAGTCTACACTCATTAATATAAATTACTCACATTACCATGCACTCAAAATCAACAAAGGCAGATTTGCATAACAAGTAGCTCAAACACACATACAATGCATACGCATATTACCATATAAATTACTTATATTTCCCCCTTTCCCAGCCCATTTCTTCTACATGTTTACTTTACATGCACTCGATTGAGCGCATTTGCAAGCTCTCTTGTGAGTGCTGAGCTTTTCACGCTCACTCGTGTAGACTTGTAGAGTTGCCATGTCTCATGCATGCTCGTGCACGAGCTCTCCACACGCTACGATTTCGACAAGAACGCTCACAACTCATTGGTCGCTATTTAGTGGTTGGCAGCGATTGGTGCGCGGCACGAATGTGCCTACGTTGCGATTGGCTGCTGGCCACTGCAACACGAATCAGCAGGGCGTGCTCGTTGCCACAGCCTCGCGACATAGCTGGATTCGATTGGAACCTAAAGGTACAGTAATTATGAATTCATAATTAGTGACGATTTTTTCTTCTGTCTTAAGTTTTTAACTGCTTTTGTGTTCTGCATTAAGTTGTTATTGACTAGCAAGAAAACTGGTTTTTCCTGATGAAACACATTTTTTCCAATGTTCCAAATGCCGTCGCTTTGACAACAGCCATTGGAAGCTATTGAAACGTTGGGCAGCAGATAACTAATCGATTTGTTTGTGATTTGATCTAAAAATGATACAGATATATATAAATAATAAAGATAATTTTCGGATTTTCATATAATATTTTATTAATATGGAGTCCCTTTGAACCTTATTATGAATTATGAATATCTGCGATTATAAAATATAGGGTTATAGATTGAATTGATTTATGCGAACAATAATAGATATATGGTTAGCTAGATAAGTAGATAGATAGATGTAGACAGCTACAGAGAAATATAGATAGGCAGATATGTATATCTATATGGATAAATTGATGGTTAGATAGGTGAATAGAAAGATAGATGAATGCGATCCTCTATAGAAATGTCTGTTATAGAAATATAGCTGCACAGAAAGAATATGTAGCAATATTAACAATAGGTAATTTTATAAACTAAATTTACTACATTTTTATAAGATTCAAGATCGGTTAAAGCTGAATTAAAGATGTTGCTTAGCTAAAAACAGGGCTATTGAAACACACCGTCGGCATTTGAAGCTTATTCTTACAAAGCACCGTCAAAGCTCTCAAGCGCAATGGGCCTAAATTCTTTCATCTTATAAATCTACAAAAAATCTTAACAAATTTAATAAGCTGTGCTAAAGTCTTTCTAGTCAATATAAATTCTTGCAATTTCAATTATTTTTTTTTATAAGATATAAATAGATGATGCCTTCCGCTGGCCCATCTCCCCAAGCACACACTCTCACACACACGCGCGTGCAGCTCACACATGCTGGAAGCTGGAATCCCGACTTTACTTATCAGCCTCAAATATCCATTTAGCTAAAATGTATTAAAAAAGTAACTCAGATGCTATCGGAAGGGCATCCATTCAAAGCTGCTCCAGACAGCGGCAACCCTCGAAATAACTTTCGAGAAATGCTCGAAATTCTTGCCCAAAGCAACGGTAACAGACAACAGCAGCAGCAACAACAAGAGCAGCTTTGGAATATCAGTTTCTTCTTCAGCAGAAGCTGCGAGCAAAGCAGCGCAGCAGCAGAGCTGCAGGCAGAGGCAGCGCAGGAGTGACAACATTTTTTGGCCTGTGGGGCTGTCGCTAGACACACACACATAAGCAGAGACACACAGAAAGGGAGACAGACACGTTAAACTGTAGAAGGAAGTGCGTTGAACGACGGCGAATGAAGGCAGCAAAACACAACAGAAACACACAGTCAAATATACAAGGGTAAAGCGAAGAGAGCGAGAGAGAGAGAAGAGGGCACGCATAAACAAAGAAGCAGCAACTGCTGCTTATATACTTATAAATGAATGGATGAATGCTACAGCTACCAAGCACTCTTATATACATGCAGAATATATAAAACAATGTATATATTTGCTTGTGTGTGTGTGTGCAGCTACAATTAGTGGCGACAAGAAAGAAAAAGAATGAAGCAATAAGCGCACAGGATTCGGTTGTGTGTGTGTGTGCGAGCAAGAGTAAGAGAAGGTGGAGTGAGCGCAATGTGGAGAGTTTTTATATTGTCCCTTTGCTAACGGCAACCGGCAAGAGTAAATTTGGTTAGCAGGACACGCTGTTAGGCTTAAGGGTGATATGCGCGGGTACAGCAGGGCATTGCTTTGGGCTTAATATTGAAAACGTGTCTCATCAGATGCTTCAACTGCAAATGCGATAACACACACAATCACACGCGCACACACACACATGAGTTAGCGTGCGCGCGCGAATGTAGAGAAATGGAAATGCAAAGAATAAATGTAAAACGAAGCGCAAAATGAAAAATTTTACATAAAAATGGAAATGTGACAACAACAAGAAGAACAACACCGGTAGCTACAACACGAAGCGAAGCATTGAATAACCCTCGGCTATGGGCGTGGAGTACATAAACCAAAGCTGAAAACCCTCTTCCAAGCACAAACTATGTACAACTGCATATACAAATGTATGTATGTATATGTATGTATGTATATAGGGTATATTAAAGTGTACTAAAACGGCATTTGGTTTTTGGTTGCCTGCTCAACAACTCAACGCAACAGCAGCGCTGTCGTCGTCGGCGTCGCTAACGGTAGTCGGTTTCCTTGTGCTCTAGGGCTGAATGCGACCCAGAGCCTCAATCATACGCTAGGTATGGGCGCGTGTCACGTAACGAATAGGCAAGTCAATGATACTATCATATAAATTTTCAGAAATATATATTTTAGATATGTTAGACAAAATAAAACTAGATGTAACATTTTGATATGCATGTATGTAGTTATAAATTATACATATATTATACATGGCATCGCTCGTACATCAATGATGTTAATTGGTCACATGAAATATCGTAGCACACACTCATCTCTAACACTTAAATACTCGCACTCAATACTCTAATTAGTTTTTATCGTAAACTCCAGTGTCTAAAAATAACAGACAAACGCACAAAAATATGAATATGAGATGCTGAAACTGAGAGCATGAGCATAAGGAGAGGGGGAGGGGGGGTGGAGATGGAAGACTGTGATCTGCTTCACTTGGCACCTAACACAGCTTGCCGGGGCGTCAAACTAACTCAGCCACAAAACTCAACTGGATTTGGTTGTCGCTTATGCGTGATAATTCAATTAGGAATGTGTGAATCAGGCAGTAACAATAACAACAACGAAAGCAGAAGGCAAACTGCATCGCAGCAGCAGCAAGCAACAACAAGAACAGCTATATGCAAGCGGAAGCAGGCGTAGAAAAAGAATTGAACAGAAAAAATACTCTTTCCCAGCAGCCGAAAAAACAAACGCCATGTCCATATGCAGCAAACGCACACAGCGACATCGCAGTTGCATATGCAACCCTGTTCTACTCATCTGTGTGTGTGCGGCACAGGAACGGAATCACAATCAGAGTACACGGCCTCGGCTCTGGCTATGGCTATGGCTATGGCTCTGGCGGCTTGAAACAATTTATGTGCCATGTATTTTGTACATAAAAATAGCGGCCGAAGTAGCAGCAGCAGCAGAGACGCCAGCACTGGCTGAGGGGCATTGGACATTGACGTTGAAAGGAGAGGGGGTCCATTTATGTGCGCAGCTTGCCTCGAAAATATTTCAACACGGGCATGCGACTGAGACTGGGACACTAAGAGCTCAGTGGCTTAGTGTGTATACAAAAAAAAGGGGTTAATATCGTAGCAGAATGATATAAACTGAATATTTGATTACATAAAAGTGAGCTATACGCTAAATTAAAAATAATATTATAATACATAGCTGAAACCCATAGATCCCTTTTTCATTTTGTTTAATATACGCCTTTGTATTATATCTTGAATCTTGCTGTACATACAAATACAATCGTACATACAGCCATGTATTGCATTCAATGTGCTCGTTTGTGTGTGTGTATGTGTATTCAAGTGTGCGGCACTGCGATAGCAACGAATATCAGCAGCAACGACAACAACAACAACAACGAACATCGACCACGAGTTGGGTCTCGTCGTCGCATTACCAATTTAAATTCCCATCCAATGCCCGCACGTAGCAAAAGAGCCGGTAAGGAATAAAACGACAGACAGAAGGACAGAATGCGGACACACAACGAACACAGAGAGAGAGCGATAGAGAGAGAGAGCGATAGATCTATAGCGAGCGGGAGGGATGGATAAAGGAACAGGCGCAAACACGACAGAGTCGGAAAGAAAGAGTATTTAATGAGCGCTACTGTTTCGTTTAAAGTTGTTGTTGCTATTCTTACTTCTGCTCGACTTGTTGTTGTTGCTGTTTCTGTTATTGCTCGCAATGCTAACTCGATATGTTACAGTTTTTTCTTCTTCTTTGCTGCTGTTGCTGTTCTCGTCCTTTTTCTATTGCTGACTCTTTCTGGCTGTCTTTTACTAATGCAGCAGTAGTTGTTATTGTTTTATGTTCTATCAAATTAGGTTCATTTGCCAGTGCAAACGGCTGCCGCTGTCAGCGGCGCTGCCGCCGCCGCTGCCCTTGCTTCTGCTGCTGATGCCGCTGCTGCTTCAATAGCTTTTGCCAAAAGCACCCTCTTTTCCAGTTGCTGTTGTTGGTGCATGAAGTGGGCTGTGCGAGTGCTTGGCTGTGCGTATGTATATATATATATATATGTGTGTGTGTGTGCTTATCGACTATGTGTAAACCGCACGGCTCACTGGCTGCCCGGTTGCTTGGCTGCAACGCCGTAGTCAACGTCGCCGTCGCTG